AAAAAAAAAAAAAAAAAAAGAATAGTGACAGGGAATAAAAGAGTATAATGAACATTCATGTATCCATCATCCAGCTTCATAGTCAATTTTGTTTATTTATACCCTCTACCCACCTTATACCTTCCCCTTCCCAGCTGCAAGTGCTGAGTTATTTTTAACACTAATCCCACAATCTTATTATTTTATGCTGGTTAAAACAACAACAACAACAAAAAGAAAAACGGAACTCAGAAGAATGGGTATCACCAAGCCTGCATTCTCGAAATGTCAACCACAGGCTGGAGCTGTATTCTGAAAGACTTCTTCAGATCAGTCATGCACTCCCCAGTTCACTACATCCCTAATCCCTCCAGGAATCTGAATTTGTGGCCCTGATTTAGGAAAGCTAAAGCCATCTGAATTGCTTTGACTGTATTTTGGGCTCACGATCCAGTTAGACAGGAATTCTCACTGTATATACTCTCCACTCCTCTAGATGATGCCCACAGCAAGCATACAGACTATTTCTGGCTAGAAATGTAATGTAGTATCTTTGCACCTTGTCTTTCCAGCTGACTTGAAGGTGTAGTCCACATCTGTTCCCAAACCTGGTTATGTGAGTTTATTTATAACTTTAATTACATAACTTAGCTGTTCTGCAAACCTATAAACTATGAGTGTGAAAAGAAAATTGTTTCTATGAAAACTAACCTGGTACTTAAACTCAGACAAATCGTCCCCCAAAATGCTCACAAACTGGGTAAACAAAACGATCATAAAAGATTGGAACTAGATTGCATCACAAGGTCTCCAACCACTTCAAAGAAATTGAAACTGAAGTTGGTAGAGGATGAATTATGGTTATGTTTAATGGTCTATGCAACAAATAGATGGTGTTCCAATCAGTTCCTCTGTCAAAGCAAAGGGCCTGCCCACATATCAGAAAGATGTGCAAGTTAATGCACACTTATGTTTATAAAGAAATAAATGACGTGTAAGTTTCCCCTTTTGAATGAAAACCAACTATGCAGCCTAAGGCCTGTTCTAGAACCTGCAAGATTACACCAGCAACAGGAGGTAGCTCTGCTCTAAATCAAAACTGAGAGTGTGTATCTACCTTTCTCCCATCCCAAAGTGGAGCAGGTCATCTACACTCCTTTTCCTTGTAAATGGCCAAAAAAGTCAGGATGAGGCAAAAAGAATGGGAAGGAGAGGAAGAAAAACAGGCAGGCTCGTCCTGCTCTTAGCAGTTCAAGGTCATTGGATACCATCCAATTATACCGATAAATCAAATATTTCCTTTTCTTTATCATTAAAGATTAACCTTTAAAAATGTGTTGCAATGATACATTTAAACAACTAGTTCAGAATTCCTTTTCACCAAGGACTAGAACACAATGGAGCATGACAAAAGGAAAGATATTCAAACTTACCAGGTCCTACTGGCATCATCCCTGGAGGAGGAGGACCCATCATTGGCATCATGGGAGGGCCCCCCATATGGGGTGCTGGCATCATGCCAGGACGAGGAGGTCCCGCTGAAATAAAAGAAACCTGGATTAAAGAATGCTTTCATACTTACATTTTCTCTTTATTTTTTTTTTCCTTTTAGTTTACTTAGAGAGGAGGAGGAAGGCAAGGAGGGAAGCATGCACCCTTGACAGGTCCTCCCCGAGCCCTGCAGACAGCCAGGTTCTCCAGGTTAAAAAAAAAAAAAAGGAGGGGACCAGCAGGTGGCGTAGTGGTTAAGGCACTGGACTCCTCATGATCGACCATGGTTCTAGTCCCAGATCCAGTGGCATAAAACTTACAACAGGTGCATGTGCATGCGTGCCCAAAGTCTGAGAGGAGAATGGAGGTGAAGGGATTGCAGTGTGGCCATCCCATCTGTGGGGGTGATTTTTTGCTTTCTGTCTCTCTCGGTCTCTCCAGCGAGCACACACGCCCTATAGTAAAACTCTCTCTCTCAAAAAAAAAGAAAGAGATACTAATGGGGAAGGTGGGGGCATTGTACCTTCTATAGAGATCGTGACAAAGAACTGATGAACTATGCCACAAGTACCTAATTTCAGATCCTTTTAAACCAAATCACAATCTTGCTTTAAAACATTCTTTGTAAATATAAAGACCTATATGTAGAATATTCCTGACACATTATTTACAACAATTAAAATTTGAAACTTAAATATCAAAATGGTAATGTAAATTATATTTATACCATAGACAATACTGATATTAAAAATAATGGAGGCCCGGGAACCAGCAGTTAGCATAATGGCTATGTCGCTGGACTCCCACGTAGTCGACCATGGTTCGCGTCCCAGACCCAGTGGCTTAAAACTCACGCCGGGCGCGTGTGCGTGCGTGCCCAAGATCCTGAGAGGAGAATGGAGAAGGGACTGCAGCGTGACCATCCCCTCTGGGGGGTGATTTCTTGCTTTCTGTCTGTCTGTCTCTGTCTGGCAAGTGCACACGCCCTATAGCGAAAACCTCTCTCAAAAAAAAAAGGGGGGGGGGTCCAACCATGGTAGCTCACACTGTGAGTAGTTGCTGCTACTCACAGCAGTTGCTATGAGCCAGAAGGTTTGCCACATAAGATCCTATCTTTAAAAAAAGTGTTCAGTGCCAGTCAGTCAAGGTGTAGTGGAAGAGAGAAGTGACCTAGGAGTTGCTGTGTGCCAAGGTCTGACCAGATCCCAGGGTGGCAGGAGCCCAGAAAGGGTTTGGAGGGCTATCAGTAGTCCTCCTACATTAGAATGCTACGATTATCCATGATTACTTACAAAACCAAGTATAGGACTGATTCATTTTCTTTTTTTTTAATTTATTTATTTCATTTATTATTTTTTAATTTAACCAGAGAGAGACAGAGAGAGAGAGAGAAAGGGAAAGTAAACAAGCAAGCCACCAGGTCCAGGACTGAACCAAGGTCGGCCATATAGAGTCCAGCGCCTTAACCACCTCGCCACCTGCTGGCCTTGACTCGATTCAATTTCAATCTGAACCCGACCAGGATAGACGAAAGAATTTATGACTGAGTACTCAAACTCCTGCCTGTCGTAGAGAAAAAAATCAAACCTTCCCAGAAAATAGAGGCCCTTCATCTACTCCACTTCAGACATCTCACTCTTTGCACAACACTCCAAGATTGCTAAGGTCACATGGGAAGGTCCTGGGTTCGCCTCCTGAGGCTTCTCTACACACACAGGTGTGTGCATACGTCCATGATCCCGCTTGGTCAAGGAAAGGGGTGGGTTGTAACATGAAGACCCTGTTGGAGGTACCCTCCTACTCTCTCAATATGTGTTTTGGTTGTGTTTTTACTTATTTTGTGTTTTTGGTTTTTTTACATTTTTACTATAGGGTGCATGCACTCACCAGTGAGAGAGACGGAAGGACAGAAAGTGAGAAATCATTTCCGGGAGGGATGGCCACACAACTCCTTCTCCTCCATTCCCCTCTATGGATTTTGAGCACACAGGCCTCATGTGCTTTTCAAGCACGAGGTCCAGGCCTTGATCCAGCTGCCTTAACTACACCACCAGCTGGCCCCAAAATAGGTTTTTGTTTTGTTTTGTTTTGAGAGAAATTAGAGGGGGGAAACTGAGGAGTTTACTAGCTATTTCAGTCCTGCAGTGTTGTATTCATAGCAGTAAATAATTTAAAGTACTCGGTGACACCTACTCACTTATCTTGTCATCTAATCACAGGTTCACAGTGAGTTTTCCATTTGAATCTATCTCATACCTACCCTTGGGATGCCACAAATACAGTATTTTTTTTTTTTGAGAGGTTTTTGCTATAGGGCACATGTGCTCACCAGAAAGACAGACACAGAGAAAGAGAGATAGAAAGTGAAAAATCACCCCCCAGGGGGATGGCCACGCCGCAATCCCTTCTCATCCATTCTCCTCTCGGGATCTTGGGCATGCAGGCATCCACGCCCGGTGTTGAGTTTAAGCCACCGGGTCCAAGACTTGAACCGCTGTCGACTACATGGGAGTCCAGCGACATAGCCATTACGCTAACTGCTGGTGCCAAAAATACAGTATCTTAATAATAACAATGAAATCAAAAATAAAGTTAACTCTAAAGTTATTAGGAATAATAGGATGAAAGTTGTTTTTAATTACTAGGTATTCATTCAATAAGCATCTGAAGTTGACTATGAGAAAATACAACATAATCAAAGGATTATCTGCCTAGTTATACACCCCTTAAAATAAAAACTTTTTTTAAATTTTATTTATGGTGATGATGATTTTTTTTTATTTGACCAGAGAGAAATAAAGTAAGAAAGAGAGGGAAAGTGAGAAAGCAAAGCCACCAGGTCCAGGACTCAAACTACAGTCAGTAATGTGGGAGTCCAGAGCTTTAACCACCACGCCACCTGCTGGCCCCAAGATAAAAACTTGTAAACTTACGGAGACTGGGGGGAGGTGGGATCATTGCCCCTGCAGGAGGAGGAGCAGAGAATGGAGTAGGAGGTATCTTCCCTTGTTGAAAGGCAGCAGCTTTGGAAATGAAGGTGAGAAACAAACAACAAATAAGAATTCAACAACTCATTTACTAAAATAACCATTTTCTTTTAAAATTTTAATGATTCCCATTACTTCACTCTATTAATAGTCTTCTAAAATTACTACATTATGGCTATAGAATTTTTAAATAAATTGTAGGTATCTGCCAGTTAAAATTACAATGAACCGGTTTACTGATTTAAGCTTTGTAAGCTATTTTTACTTAGCATTTCTATGACTGAGTTAACTGTGGGAGATTGGAGTAAAAATGTCCTACCTACCAGTGTCATTTTTCAGAAGAGACGCAATCATCCTAACTCTGAAGATATATTTATAACCAGTTCAAGTTATTCATAGTGTTTGAAAAATGTGCAACACATGTACAAAAGCTAGGCTTTGTAAGTTTCTATTCTTCCTATATATCCTTTCCTGGATCAAAACATTATCATTTTGATTTACCAGTTTTGAAATGTATGCACTAAGCTAACAGGTTGAAAGCAAACAAAAATTTCAGAGCAAGAGCTCTCTGAAGGAGATTATCATCTTTTAAAAAGCCCAATGCAATCCACTTTTAATTTTTCTTTCAGACAACATGAGGTACAAGTGAAAATGAAGAAAAACTAGACATCTTTAATATTTGGTTTAAGAAGTTATAAATATTAAAATACACAACTGACAAAGTCTATCCCAGATGTAAGCCCTTCCCAACTCAATGTCTGCAGCTCACCCCATGCCGACCCCTTGATGCAAAGGAAGTCAAATTATTCAAGTTAATCACTGATAATTCATGGGGACCAGATACAGAAAAATGAATGAAGATTCACGAAAGCTCCCTGTAGGAGAACTGACTGCAGAGAAAGAAGGTGAGCCCGACTCAGTAGCAGGCTCAAGGCAGCATAATCACACATTGCCAGGTGTGCCCCCGAGGGCTTTCCTTCTCTCCTGCAAAAGCCCTCCATTCTAAATGTTCACTCCTTGTAAATTCTTCTGTATATAAAAAAAAACTAGAGAATATACTGCTGACCTCTTAATAACAAGAAATTAACATCTTTTCAAATAGGAAATAGGAAAAAAAGATTAGTTATAATTTATTGTTTCGAACGAAATGGGACAATGTCTGAGATCTGCTCCATAATCTGAGGGAGAAAGGGACATGAAGGTATTTAGGGGCTCTCAGCGGGGACAAGCCTGCCCTCCTGGGGCCACTGGGAGATGCTTTTTCATCACAACTGAGAGCTGGTACTAGTCCCTAGTGGGTAGATGTCAGAGATGCTGCTGAACGCCCTATAATGCACAGATCAGCCCCACAACAAAGCATCACCCAGCCCTGAAACGTCAGTAGTACCAACACTGAGAACCTACGGATAAACTCAACAAGACTGCTGCATCTGGGTGATGGGAAGCAGGGAGGACGGGTCGACCACAGGAGGATCGCTCATTAAACTTGTCTTTCTATTTCACTGAGTATTTTTCATAATACATTTGTTTTGTTTTGTTTTCAAAAATATCACAAAGTCCACATCTGCCTATCGGCCCTGAATACAGCAAATGATTAAATTAAGGTCATATTTTAAAAACACCAAGATCAAGTGAAAATGCAACATGGAATGTAGAACAGCATACCCGACTGTTTGGTCACATCAGTTAGTTTCTTTTTGACTAGTTGTCTTTGTTGAGATTACAAATGAGAAACCCAGGGCCCAGACAGTGGTACAACAGTAAAATTCATTACTCTGTGAGGCAGATCTATATGAGAAAGTTGCCAGTTCAAGTCCAAAGATTTCCCTTGAGTGATCAGGCAAGAGTGTGTGCCCACAATTCAGGCCAGCTGAGGCTAGGCCAGATCACAGTGTCGTGACCCTATTAGGAGATTCAGGCGAGCTGAAGCAGGGCCAGATCACAGTGTCGTGACCCTATTAGGAGTGCCGTTTCTTTCTCTCCTTCACTCATGGAATAAGCTTTCTCTCTTTGTCTCTCTTTTTTTATTTTAGAGAGATTTTTGTTATAGGGTGTATGTATTCACCAGAGAGACAGAGAGAAGGCTTTTGGAGGACAGAAGGAAAGCCCTTGGGGGCACACCTGGTGATGTGTGATTATGTTGCCGTTAAGCCTGCTATTGAGGGACCAGTAGTTAGCATAATGGCTATGTCACGGGACTCCCATGTATTCGACTGCGGTTCAAGTCCCAGACCCGGTGGCTTAAACCCGTGCCGGGCGCGCACGTGTGTGTGCCCAAGATCCTGAGAGGGTGCCGGGCGCGCACGTTTGTGTGCCCAAGATCCTGAGAGGAGAATGTAGGAGAAGGGATTGCGGCATGGCCATCCCCCCTGGGGGGGATGATTTCTCACTTTCTGTCTCTCTGTCACTCTCTGTCTTTCTGGCGAGCACACATGACCTATAGCAAAAACCTCTCCAAAAAAAAAAAAAAAAGCCTGCTACTGAGTCGGGACTCACCTTCGCTCTCAGCAATCACTGTCAGCTATCCTACAGGGAGCTTTCATGAATCTTCATTCTAGGTTACTTTTCTGTATCTGGTCCCCATAAATTATTAGTGATTAACTTGAGTAATTTGACTTCCTTTGCATTCCTTTTTTTGTTTTTTGCCATAGGGTGAGCTTGCCAGTGAGAGAGAAGGAAAGTGAGAAATCACCCCCTAGGGGGTGAGGCCACGCTGCAATCCCTTCTCCAATCTACTCTCGGGATGTGGGGCACCCACACACATGTACCCAGCATGATTTTCAAGCCACTGGGCTGGGGACTCAACCTGTAGTTGACCACATGGGAGAGCAGCACCTTAAGCACCACACCACCTACTGGCCCAACTTTCCTTTTTTAAAAAAGAGGCACCACACCACCTACTGGTCCAACTTTCTTTTTTTTTAAAAAGAAAACCCAAGTGAAATATCTCAAAATATTTGGAAAACCATACTCCTCCCCCTATTTTAACCAGAAGCTTTTTAAAAAAAATTATGGATCGCTATACAGGAGGGATTGGTTTTTGCTTTAAATCTGTTACAAAATCTGGTCCATATCAATAGAGAAACATTAGGCAACTTCATACTTGTCTGCCCCACTTCTCAGTCTAACCAATACCTGACTGCACTGTCCTCAATAATTAATACTAATGTGTTACTATAACCCTGGGAAACCAATGACCTTCTTCTTCAATCATTTGACATTTCCGAATGCCCCTATTTATCAGTCAAAATGAGCTGCTTGTGAAAAACAAGACACAGGGACGAAAAAGAATGGAACCATTCTACCACATCAGAACAAGAGACTGAAACCTACTTGTTTTGTCAATCAGGCTCTGAGCCTGCTCTTCCATCCATTTCTGATAGTAGTCTTTCACATTCTCTTTGTGTTTCCTACCACTGCAGTGTGTTTTTCTCACGGATGGCTATAAAACAAAAAGGTCATATCAGAGACAGAAACAAATTTTCTAAAAGTAGAATTTTTTACAAAACACCTGCTGCCCCCCCCCATACTGTTTTACTCATTTACCATATTTATAACCTAGACCGGGAATCAGCAAACTGTGGCCCACAGATCTTTAATGTTCTTGTATGGAAAAAGTATTGGGACACAGCCACATTAATGCATTTACCCTACCATGGCAGAGTTAGCAAATGCAGCAAAGACCGTATGGTCCACAAATGTAAAATAATTACAATTTGGCACTTTAAGAAAAAGTTTATAAATCCCGATCTGGACGATAGTATTTTCTTTCTTTTTCCTCTCCAGCTTTTGCTATAAGGTGCATGTGCTCAGAGAGAGAGAGAAAGAGAAAGAAAAAGTGAAAAAATCGCCCTGTGGGGACCACGCCACATTTCCATTTCCTCCATTCTCCTCTTGGGCTTCTGACATGCATGCACACATGCCTGGCATGATTTTTAATCAGCCTCGTCCAGGACTCAAACCTCACAGCCACCCAGCATCTTAACCTCCATGCTACCTTTTTAATTATTATTATTATTTTTAAATGAAACAAGGTCTTGTTATACCATCCAGGCTGGTCTCAAATTTGCAATCCTCCTGCCTTAGCCTCCTGAGCTGCTGGGATGACAAAAGTGTACCACAATGCCCAGCTGCACTGTGCCACTTAAAGCTCTTAGAGTATTCCATTGCAAAATAATACAGTTTACACACATGTAAGTAACATCATCCATGAGAAAATGACTGGATTTGGAGCACAGACTCCATACAGATCTCCTACAGACCATTGTCTACTCTACTCGTCCTGTTGTTCATTTGTTTGCTTTTTCTTTATATTTTTTTAAGAGAGAGATATTTTTGCTCTAGGGAACATGTGCTCACCAGAGAGATGGAGAGACAGAAAGTGAGAAATCATCCCCTAGGTGGAGATGGCCACGCTGCAATCCTTTCTCCTCCATTCTCCTCTCAGGATTTTGGGCATGTACACATATGCACCCAACATGAGTTTTTTCTTTTCTTTTCTTTTTTTTTTAAGTAGAGATTTTTTGCTACAGGGCATGCACACTCGCCAGACAGAGAAAGAGAGACAGAAAGCGAGAAATCACCCCCCCAGGGGAGATGACTGCACTGCAATCCCTTCTCCTCCACTCCTCTCAAGTTTTTGGGCGGGGACACACGCACATGCACCTGATTTGAGTTTCAGGACGCTGTGTACAGGATTCGAACCACAGTTAGCCATGTGGGAGTTGAGTGACGTAACTATTAGGCCATGTGCTGGTCCCAGTCCTATTGTTTTTTAGGAGCTTTAATAACGTGGTGCTGGACTCCCACATGGCTAGCCATGGTACAAGTCCCAGACCCAGTGGCTTGAAACTCATGCTAGGCACGTGCATGTGCATGCCCAAAAGTCCAAGGAGAATGGAGGAGAAGGGACTGCAGTGTGATCATCCCCCTGGTGGGGAGGTGATTTCTCAATTTCTTTCTGTGTTTCCGGTGAGTACATGTGTCCTCTAGCAAAAATCTCCCTTAAAAAAAAAAAAAAGCTTTAATACGGTATAATTGATATAAACTTCACAGAGTTTTTAAAATTAACATCTATAGAACATTTAATATGTGCCAAGCACTGTGCTTATAAAAGAGTCTCAATTAATCTTCATAAAACTCACATGCACAAGGTACAATGAAACAGTACTCAGAAAAAAATATCATCAGATACATATCATTAGATAGACGAACTTCAAAAACATGATGAGCAAAAGTCACACAAAAAAGCCTATACATTATAAGATTCCAACGGTAGAAGTTTTAAAACCAGTAACACTAATCTTCAGTAATAAAAACAAGATCAGTGGGAAGCAGCAGTTAGCGTAATGGCTGTGTCGCTGGACTCCTCCGTAGTCGACCACAGTTCGGGTCCCAGACCCGGTGGCTTAAAACTCATGCCGGGCGCGTGTGCGTGCGTGCCCAAGATCCTGAGAGGAGAATGGAGGAGTAGGGATTGTGGTGTGACCATCCCCCCTGGGGAGTGATTTCTCACTTTCTGTCTCTATGTCTCTCTCTGTCTGGCAAGCGCACGTGCCCTATAGAGAAAAAAACCTCTCCCCCCCCCCAAAAAAAAACAAAAAACAAGATCAGTTAAAGCCATGTATGCAGCACACTAACTTTCTGGGAATAAAAAAATATTCTGTATCGTTTTTTTCCCTCAGGTTTTTGCCACAGGGCACATGCTGTCACCCTCACTCCAGACACCTCCCTAGGGGTGCCCTAAGGGCAAGGGTCATGCCACAATCCTTCTCCTCCATTCTCCTCTTAGGACTTTGGGCATGCACACATGCCTGACTTTTAAGTGGACAGTTCCAGGGCTCAAACACCAGTGCCTTAACCACCAGCCCACCTACTGGCTCCTGTATCTTGATGTATAAATCAAGTTGTAATCATGTGACAAGTATCAAACTGTATGCTTAAAATGTGTGCTTAATTTAACTGAACATAAATTCTAACTCAATAAAACTGATGGGAAAAAAACTACAGAAGTATCATCTTCAATTTACACTGAAGACTTACCTCAAAACACACAGCCAGTAAATGGTAAACCAAATCCGCGAACTCAGAACTCCTCGTAGCTGCCTAGGTATCTCGCTACTAGTATACTCACTCTTCAGTGACTGCTTCAAGGATAGCAAATATGACCGTCAATTGAGCCTACTGTCTTTTCTCAGTCTACATTTTTTTTTTTTGGAGGTTTTTGCCTTAGGGTGCTTGTGCTCGTCAGACAGACAGACACAGCAAGAGGGAAAGTGAGAAATCACCCCCTAAGGAGGATAACCATGCCACAATCCCCTCTCCATTTTCCTCCGGGGATCTTGGGCACACATGCACACGTGCTCGGCATGAATTCCAAGCCACCAGGTCTGAGACCTGAACCACAGTTGGCCATGTGGGAGTTTAGCGATGTAACGGCTATGCCATCTGTAGGCCCTGTCAGTGTACAAAATGTTGTCTCCTGTCTCCTAAACTACTACTTATACTAATATGATAATGCTTTAAACCTAATTTAAAAAACATATCTGGGAGGTGGCATGGTGAGTGAGGCACTGGACTCCCACATGGTTGACCACAGTTCAAGTCCTGGACCTGGTGGCTTGCTTTCTCACCTTAACTGCTACCAACTGGCCCTGACAATGGTTTCTAACATGTCTCGTAATTTAATTCAGAGATTTCACAAAAAGGTTCAATTCTTTGAATTTTGGCACTTGGAAGATGAAAGAATGCATGAAAATATAATGCTAAAAAAGGGTAAAAAGGCATTGCCCTGTCACCAACAGTTTCAGAAAATTATGACTAGCAGTTTTAGGGACCAAGGTGGGGGAAAAAAAACTGGGAATCTATGAGCCAGGACTAACTAGCTACTAATACCAATTTATTGGAGGAGTCTCACTCAGAACAGTCTATTATAACATTTAGAATTTTATTTCTAAAGTAATCACCTTATTTACACATTCCACAATCTACTAATGCTGAACTGTATGTGACCATGTCAGAAAGAATTCCAAATGAGGTAACAACAGAAGAACCATTGGCTAGGTTCTTGCAGCTACTATTCAAGATGACCGAGTCCTGATCCAATCAGGTTTCTGCAGAGGCAGCAGAGTACACAACTGGAGTGTATGGTTCGCAGATACTAAAGGGCCTCTGACATCCTTTCGGGAAATCTGCAAGGTCAAATTGTTTTTGTAATAATACCAAGTTACTGGGCTGGCAGGTGGCACAGTAGTTAAAGCAGTGGATTCCCACATGGCTTGAGTCCTGGTCCTGGCGGCTTGCGTTCTTACCCTTTCACTTTTTTTTCTCTCTCTGTACAAATTTTTAAAATAATAACTCCTGGGGGCTTGCGTTCTTACCCTTTCACTTTTTTCTCTCTCTCTGTACAAATTTTTAAAATAATAACAAATGGAATTAAGTAAATCATTATTTTAAAAATATACTAATAATGCTACGTTACTACTTTCCTTTTTCATTGTATTGACATTTACACTGAAGTTGCCAAATTGCTAGGAGTTTGGAAATCAAGGCGGTGGCACCCTAATGTACTGGGTCGTCAGAAAAGTCATGATGCATTTTTCCATAGAAAATATTAGTGATGCTGAATTTTTCAATGCCATATAGTCATAGAATGAAAAAAGCCAGTTCCACTAAGACTGTCCTTAATGAATCAGTAAATTTATTAATTTTACTAAGGCTCCATCCTTGAGTTCATGTCTTAATATTTTGGGTGACAAAATGCTAAGAACTTTATTGTTCTTTCAGTTTTTGCTACAGGGCGTATGCGCTCACCAGAGACAGACAGAGAAGAAGGGGTGGGGAAATCACCTTCCAGGAAGGATGGCCATGCTGGAATCCCTTTTCCTTCCGTCTCCCCTCAGAATTTTGGGCACACACACACACACACACACACACACGGCAGCATGATTTTCAAGTTTTCAAGTTGCCTGGCCCAGGACTCTAACCACACAGTTGGTGATGTGGGACCCAGTGCCATACCTCCATGCTACCTGCTAGCCACAAGGCACTTCTGCTGCATGCCAAAATATGATGCTATTTCAAGGAAAACCAGGCACACAATTGTTCAAGTTGGGAGCTCTACCAGCTGTCCTTTCTATGGTTTTATTTGAGAAACACCTGAGAAACTGGATATTCAGACTCCTAGACAAATGAAGGGAGCCTGTCACTCCAGGCTCAGCATCAATGCTTTTGCTCCTAATAATAAAACGTGATCATTCACACAAAAATTAGAATTGCAGAAACGTTTATCTATAATCAAAAACTTGACAGCCTCCCAATACTTAGTCTAGTCGCTGACTAGACTGTGAAATTACCGAATGTGAATTTTTAATACTATTATACGATCATTTGTGTCCACATTTGAAGACCCCCATAACTCAGTGAACCAGTATTTTACAACTAACCAATGTATTTTTTTAAATTATGCATGTATAAGATCCACTCAAAAGTACAAGAACTTTAATTTAACAGTATGGAAAATCTGATACGGTTTTTCATTCCACACTACAAGTACTACCATATTTAACCATGGATTGAGTATGCTATAGTAACATAAAATTTTAAAAATATATAATTTTGGGATCGGCCCTATAGCATGGTGGTTAAGAGATGCCAAATGCCACTGGCTTAAAAAGCACACCAGGCGTGGTGTGTACCCACAAACTCAGTAGGATGGACAAATGGAGGAAAATGGACTGCAGCATGACCATGCCCCATCCTGGGATTCATTTTTTCTCTCTCTCCTTTGGGCAGCACTCATGTCCCCCGGCAACTCAAAAAAAAAAAAAAAAAAAAGAAAATATATTAAAAAAAAAAAAAAAAGAATATATAGTTTGGTATAGTAACGTGAAGTATTAAAGAAAAGCCACAATTACCTAAAAAAGTATCTAAAACATTCCTCCTTTCAACTAATATCCATGCGCAGCTGAATTTTCCTCAGATACGTCAACCAAAACAACATACTGTAATAGATTTAATACAGAAGATAAGAATCTAGTTATACCCCCTTAAGCCACACATTACAAAAGTTTGCAAAAATGCTAAAATGATGCCACAAGTCATACAAAATTTTTTGTTTTAGAAAATAATGATTTTTCAAAACACTAATAGCTGGTTCCTGTAATCCCAGAGAAAGGAGCAACAGGGAGACTGCGATCCCAGAGACAGAAGGCCCAACAAGCAGGCCCAAGTCAAGCTGCTCAGTTGGAGCTCATCGGCAAGGCCCCCTCCCACTGTCCCCGACCCAGCCTGCTGTGGGGGAAGAAGAGCCCTCCAGCCTTCAAATATCCAATAACTGGTTCCTGCAATCCCAGAGAAAGGAGGAGCGACAGGGAGACCCTGTGATCTAGAGATAGACGGTAAGAGCTGCTGGCCCACATGTGCTGACACCATTCTGCCCTTCACCCACCCAGGTCCAATAGGCAGGCCCGAGCCAAGCCACTCAGTTTTGGTCTACCACCTTGGTCTACAACCTTATTTTCTGTCAGTGCAACCTCCATCCACATCTGGAGTAGTTAGGTTTAGGTATACAAGAACCAAACACATAACTATATGAAGGAAATTCTTTTTCTATAATTCCTGTGACAGTAAAAAGAAAAAAACTTGGGGGCCAGCAGGTGGTATGGTGGTTAAGGGCGCTGGACTCTCCCATGACAAATAGCGGTTTGAGTCTCGGACCTGGTGGCTTGCTTTTTCACTTCCCCTCTTTCATTCTGTCCATCTCTGGTCAAATAAAAATAAATACAGTTAAAGAAAATAATTCTTAAAAAAAAAAAAGAAAGAAAAAAAACAACTCCCCTCTAAATATCTAAACCCTAAGTTCCTACTGTGGATTCTACACTCCTACCACGCTGTAGAGGAGGGAAATTGGCACTGGTCACACACATATCATAGAGAAGTGGAAGAGCACAGCTACAGAAACACTCCCAAGTAGTAAGAAGTCAATATACCTCCAGATGACTAAAATTCAAAGCGGAGCCCAAAGAAATAGGAGAAAATCAGGAAATACTTCCCCTTAGAGGAAAATAGTGATTTCTGACTTTTTAAATGTTATTTTACACATAAAAAGCTTGTTGTGGGGCCAGTAGGTGACATGGTGGCTAAGGCACTGGACTCCTACATGATTGATCACAGTTCGAATCCCAGACCCAAGGCTTGAAAATCACACCAGGCATGGGGGTGTGTGTGCCCCAAATCCCAAGGTGGGGGTGGAGGAGAAGGCACTGTAGCATGGTCATCCCCTTGGAAGGTGATTTCTCACTCTCCTCTCCCCCCATGTCTCTGGCAAGTGCACAAGCCCTATGTCGAAAAGACATTAAAAAAAAGAAAAAAACTAAAAATAAAGAAGTTTGCTATTTAAGTTTTAATTTCAAACACAGCAAATCTTGACAGATACAACCGATAAACAAAATTCTTTAAAAATATATAGCCATGGGGGAACCAGCAGTTAGCATAATGGCTATGTCGCTGGACTCCCACGTAGTCGACCACGGTTCGCGTCCCGGACCCGGTGGCTTAAAACTCACGCCGGGCGCATGTACGTGCATACCCAAGATCCCAGGAGAATGGAGGAGAAGGGATTGTGGCGTGACCATCCCCCCAGGGGGTGATTTCTCGCTTTCTGTCTCTATGTTGCTCTCTGTCTGTCTGGCGAGCGCACGCACCCTATAGCGAAAACCTCTCAAAAAAAAAAAATATATATATATATATAGCCATGGGACCAGCAGGCAGCATAATGGTTATATCGCTGGACTCCCACAGTCGACCATGGCTCAAGTCCTGGACCCAGTGGTTTAAACTCATGCCAGGCACATGTGCACGTGTCCACAATTCCAAGAAGAGAATGAAGGAAAAGGGACTGTGGCGCAGCCATTCCCCCTAGGGGGTGATTTCTCACTTTCTCTCTCTGACAAGTATACAACCCTATAGCAAAAAGCTCTCTCTTAAGAAAATAATAATAATAAATATATATATATATAAAAGCCAATTTTAAAAAAAGAATTATTTTATTTAACTGTATGCATTTATTTATTTATTTTAATTTGACCAGAGAGGGACAGAGTGAGAGTGAGAGAGAGAAGGAAAGCAAGAAAGCAAACCTGGGACTCGAACTGCAGTCAGCCATGTGGGAGGCCAGTGCCCTTAACCAACACACAGAGAGAGAGAGAGAAAGCAAGTTGCCAGGTCTGGGACTTGAACCAAGGTCGGCCATGTGGGAGTCCAGTGCCCTTAACCATGACGCCACCTGCTGGCCCTTATACCCAATTTTTAAGAGTAATCTGAGACCAAAATGTTAAGAGAACTGTTGACGCACGGAAGCTCTGGGGTTAAGACCGTCTAGGCTCACCTTGCACTCTACAGGACTTACTAGTTTCATGACACCCAGTTATTTATCCATACTCTGCCTCAGTTTCCTCAGCGGTCAAGCGGAGATAATAAAAATACCAATCTCATAGGATTACAATAAGCATTAAATAAAATGATACATGTAAAACATTTGAACACTGCTTGGCACAATAAAGGATTCAATCTTAGCTGCTGCTATTACTATAATAGTTAAGCAGTTTTTAATCAAATCAAGTAGTCTATTTCAAATCAAGGCAGATTTCTCTCCACTTTAACCAATCAAACATTTGAGGAACTTGACACATCAGATACTTAAACTTTAAGGATACTTTCCTGGAAGTTTTACTTATACAATTTTTTTTTTTCATTTCCAAACTCCCCAAAGGTTTATTTGGGGTCTCCAATGAAAACACTGGCTATCAGAGATTAAGATGCAAATGTCAAAATTATAAAAGTTACAGGAAGGATGTTAAAATAAACACCCACAATTATTTTCTCGATGTCGTAGGCTCCCAAGCTGCACAGTACAAACTTGCACTTAAAGCAAAAGCCTTATTACACATAAGGATCTCTGAAACTATGAAAAGATAAGCCACTTACAGAATCGTGGGTGAGGTATGTATCACAGTAGTCACAATAAAACCTAAAGTTTAGGTGGGAAAGGAAAAAAAAATAAAGATGACAATGATTAAGAGATGCTCAACTGCGGAAGCGCTGTTCACTGAAGGTTAAAACAAAAAACCCGACCTGCCCACTCGAAGGAGTCAAAGCGTCCTGCCACAACCGGGGATTTCGTTGTTGACTTAAGCGGGGTCGACCTCCACTCAAATGGATGTGCAGAGCGCCCCGTCCCCCTTCCTCCCTCCCGGGTCCTTTCCCTTCCCTCCAAGTATCAAGAACCACAACCAGAACCCGCTCTCCGCTCAGGGCCACAACCGGCGACCAAGACGACCCTCAGACCCCAAAACCAACTCACTTAGGCATGTTGCTCCTCAAGCCGTTGGACTTTCCGCTCCGCTCCGCGCCGCACGGAAGTGACGCACACAGAACGCGCCGACTCCGGGAAGGCGACGAGAGGAACGTGACGCCTTCAGAAGCACCGCCGCTCACGGCGGAGGGCGGGGCTTCCCGTCGCTTCTCGTCACCTATAGGTGGGCGGGAGGGGAAATACTAAGGGTCCTTGTGAGGTTCAATCTAAGCTCATTTAATCTTGATTCGTGGTGCTTGCGGACGCGCATTGTGAAAAGAGCGGTAAATAAAGCAGACAAAAATCATTGTCCTTATAAAGGTAACGTTCTAGTTAACGAAGACAAATGATAAGGTCAGTATTTCGTAGGTTAAGATAATGAAGTCAATATTTAGTAGGCCAGATGGAATAAAGTGTTATGGTGGGTAGGAATGAAGCAGAGAAGAGGGAAGTTGCACCTAAAGTAAAAATCTTAGTTTATTGCATAATAAGGTTCTCCGAAACTATGAAAAGTTACAGTTTCGTTTTGTTTGGTTTGGTTTGTTTTTTTAAGAGGTTTTTGCCTTTAGGGCACATGGGCTCCCAGAGAGAGCAAGAGCGAGACAGCGAGAGGGAAAGTGAGAAATCACCCGCCAGTGGGGTTGGCCACGCCTTAGTCCCTTCTCCGCTATCCTCCTGGGATCTTAGTCGTGCAGTTATGCGTGCCCTGCATGATTTTCCAGCTACTGGGTTCTGGGCTCACACAGGGCGGGCCATGTTCAGGGAGGTAACACCTAGGCTATCTCCTGGTCCAGGAAAGTTCAATTTTTAAAGCAGAGGGCTTGAGAAGATGACAAATGGGAAAGTACAGATTTCTCTCTTTTTTTTTTTTTTCTAATGAGGTTTTTGCCATAGGGCACATGGCCTCGCTGGAGAGAGAGAGCGTCTGAGACAGTGAGTGGGAGAGTGAAATCACGCCCTCCCCAAGGGTATGGCTATATTCCACAGTCCCTTCTCCTCCGTTCTGCTCCTGGGATCTTGGGCACGCAAGCATACATGCCTGATGTGATTTTCCAGCCACCAGGTCCAAGAACTTGAACTATGGTCTACTCTGTGGGAGTCCAACGATATAACCACTATACCATCTGCTGGCACCGAAATTACAGGTTTCTTAATAAAGCCAAGTGCAAACTGCTTTACATAGCATATCTTTTTTGAGTCTCATTAAACCCAGGAGATAGTAGAATCCTCACTTTAAAAAAAAAAAAAAAGTGACTCTAGGGCACATGTGCTGGCCAGAGAGAGGAAGAGAGACAGAGGGAAAGTGAGAAAGTGCCCCCAGCCCAGAGACAGCCATGTTGCATTCCCTTCTCCATTTCCCTCTGAGGATTTTGGGCACACAAGTACATCATGTTTTTCAAGCTGCTGTCCAGTTTTGAAACCCCACAGTGAGCCATGTAGGATCCAGTCACCTTAATCACCAGGCCATTAGCTGGCTCTGAATTACATTTTCTTTATCTTTTTTCTTTCTTTCTTTCTTTTTCTTTTTTCTTTTTCTTTTTTTTTTCTTTTATTCCCCTCAGAGAGAGAGACTTCTGCAATAGGTTGCGTAGGCTCACCAGAGAGACAGAGAATGAGAAATCACCCCTCAGAGTGGATGGCCACACGTCAATTCCTACTCCATTCTCCTCTCAAGATCTTGGGCACACGTGCATCTGCACCTGGCATGAATTTTTTAGATCAGTGGGTCCAGGACTTGAATCTTGGTCAAATATGTAGGAGTCCAGTGACATAACCATTACGCCATCTGCTGGTCTCCCAAATGTTTTTGTTTTTTTTTTTTTTGAGAGGTTTTCGCTATAGGGTGCGTGCGCTTGCCAGACAGAAAGAGAGAGACATAGAGACAGAAAGCGAGAAATCACCCCCCAGAGGAGATGGTCACGCCGCAATCCCTTCTCCTCCATTCTCCTCTCGGGATCTTGGGCACACACGCACACACGCCCGGCGTGAGTTTTAAGCCACCAGGTCCGGGACGCGAACCGTGGTCGACTATGTGGGAGTCCAGCGACATAGCCATTACGCTAACTGCTGGTTCCCTCCCAAATGTTTTTTTTAAGAGAGATTTGTTTTTTCTATAGGATGTGTGCACTCGCCGAACTGACAAATCAAGAAATCACCTTCCAGGAGGGATGGCCACACCACCATCCCTTCTACATTCTCCTCTAGGGATCTTGGACATGCATGCACACATGCCTGGAGTGAGGTTGTTTTTTGTTTATTTTTTTAAAGAATTATTTTATCTATTTATTTTAATTTGATCAGAGAGGGACAGAGCAAGAGAGAGAGAGAGAGAGTGAGAGAAAGGGAAAGTGAAAAAGCAAGCTGCCAGGTCCAGGACTCAGACTGCAGTCAGCCATGTGGGAGTCCAGTGCCCTTAACCACCACACCACCTCCTGGAGTGTCCCCTCCCCCATGAGATTTTAAGTCACCAGGTCAGGTTTCAAACCATGGTGGGTCATGTGGGAGTCCAGTGGTGTCACCATTACATCATCTGTGGGTCCCAGACTGAAATATCTTTATGAGACATAACTAGGTGTAGTGTATGAATTGTCTTTTGTTAATGGAAAATACATACTATGCAAAAAAATCTATGGATTTCAAAATTTTATTTTATCAAAGTAAAGATCATAAAAACTTGTTAAAATGTGTCTGAATGAGATCTAGCTTGAGGCACTAAGAAGGATAAGACATCAGGACCAGCAGATGGCGTAATGGCTATGTCACTGAACTCCCATGTCAGTTGACCGCGGTGGTTCAAGTCCCGGACTCGGTGGCTTAAACTCACGCTGGACGTGTATGCATGTGTGCCCAAGATCCCTAGAGGAGAATGGAGAAGAAGGGATTACGGGGTGGCCATCCTCCTGGAGGGTGATTTCTCTTTGTCTCTGTGTCTCTGTCTTTCTGGCGAGCGCATTTGCCCTATAGCAAAAACTTTTCCCTCCCCCCTAAAAAGAAGGATAAGACATCAGTTTGAAAAAGTCACAGCAAATGAATTCCACTAAAATGTGGGGTTGGTTTTTTTAGAGATTTTTGCTATAGGGTGCATGCGCTTACCAGAGAGACAGACAGAAAGTGAAAGATCACTCCGGGGGAATGATCATGCCAAAATCCCTTCTCCATTCTCCTATCAGGATTTTAGGCACGTGTCCAGCATGAATTTTAAGCTACCCGTCCAGGACTCAAACAGCAGTCAACTACATGGGAGTCTAGCAATGTAACCATTCCACCATCTGCTGGTACCATCCACTAAAATTGAAGCAAGAACAAATATGGCCTTTTGGCCTGAACTGCTGTCTTCCAATAATTCACCAAAATGAGAAAAACAAAGGAAAAGAGGAGAGGCACCCAATTATATGTTCTCTAGGCCTTTTAGAAAACATGGAGTGATGAGGCCTGCAGGTGGCATGGTGGTTAAGGGTGTGGACTCTGACATGGTGTACCGGAGTTGGTGTCCCCAACCTGGCAGCTTGATTTCTTTCTTTCTCTCTCTTCCTCTCTCTCTCTCTCTCTCGTTCTTTCCCTCTCTGGACTAATAAAATAAGTTAAATGAAATAATAACTTAAATAAAAAAAGAAAACATGGAGTGGTAACTTTGGCAAAATACCTGCAAATCTACAAGAAAGGTGATACTGTAGACATCAAGGGAATGGATACTGTTCAAAAAGGAATGCCCCACAAATGTTACCATGCCAAACTGGAAGAGTCTACAGTGTTTCCCAGCATGCTGTTGGTACTGTTGTGAACAAACAAGTTAAGGACAAGATTCTTCCCAAGATAATTAATGTGCGTATTGAGCATGATAAAGCATTCTAAGAGCAGAGATAGCTTCCTAAAACGTGTGAAGGAAAACGACCAGAGAAAGAAGGAAGCCAAAGAGAAAGGTACCCAAATTCAAAGGAACAGCCAGGCTGCTCCACCAAGAGAAGCACACTTTGTGAGAACCATGGAGAAGCCAACAGATGGCATAGTGGTTAAGGCACTGGACTCCCGTGTGGCCAACTGTGCACAATTCAGAACCTGGCAGCTTGAAAGACACCTGGCACAAATCTGTGTGTGCCTGAAATCCCAAGAGGAGAATGGAGGAGAAGGGATTGAAGTGTGGCCATCTCGCTTTCTGCCTTTCTGTCTCTGGCAAGCATTCATGCCCTATAGCAAAAATCTTGAAAAAAAAAAAAGAAAGAAAGAAAAGAAACAATGGAAAGGAACCTATTCCTTACGAATTAATGGCTTGGTAGGTGTTAAAAATAAACTCTTGGGATGGGGAGGGGTGCTGGCAGGTGGCGTGGTGGTTAAGGCAACTGGATTCCTACGTGACCAACCTCAGTTCAAGTCCCGAAAGTGGTAGCTTAAAAATCACACCAGGAGGACCAGCAGATGGTGTAATGGTTACATCGCTGGACTCTTAATGTAGAGTTGACCATGGTTCAAGTCCCAGACCCAGTAACTTGAAACTCACACTGGGCGCATGTGTGCACATGTCCAAAATCCTGAGGAGAGGAGATGTAAAGAGATTGCAGCATGGTCATCCCCAATGAAGGGTTATTTCTTGCTTTCTGTCTCTCTCGGTTTCCTGGGCAAATGCATGTGCCCTACAGCAAAAAAAAAAAATGTTTAAAGAAAGAAAGAAAATCACACCAGGCACGTGTGTGTGTGACCAAAATCCCAAGAGGAGAATGGAGAAGGGATTATGGCCATCTCCTCTAAGGGTGATTACTCACTTTTCCTCTGCCCTGTCTGGTGAGAGCAGGTGCCCTATGGCAAAAACTTAAATAAATAGTCAAACTCTGCTCTAAAAATAAAGAAAGAAACCATATTATGTTATGGTAAAGCTGGGTGGAAGAATGGGGAAATGAGTGAGGCTTTACAAAAAGCTTAGATAAAGGAACAATGCCCAAAGAAATCATTAGTTTACAAATGGATAACTCATTTTAAGAAGAGACAAGATGAGGGACCAGCATGTGGTGTGCTGGTTAAGGTGCTGGACACTCCCACATGGTCGATCATGATTTGAGTCCTGGGCCTGGCGGCTTGCTTTCTCACTTTCCTTCCCTCTCTTTCTCTGTATCTCTGGTCA